CGCACCCTCAGGGAACGCCCCGAGAGTGCGAGAGAGACAGAGCGGCGAAAACGACTCTCGGAGTGCTGCAGGCGTGACCCCCTCCACCTGCCGTGACGCGCCGACGTGCCGATGATCGGACGAGGGAGATATTCAATCCTCAAACTTACCGACTCGCTCGCCTTCCTCTCGCCTTGGTGGTGTGGAAGACGAAGATGCGCGGGCATTGCCTCTGTCTGTCTCTACCAGTGCTCCGAGCGTGCCCGTGTCCCCGCTTTGCTGCCCAGCCCAGGGACTTCCCCTTTACTTTTCACGTGACGGTCCGAGCGAGGGTCCGAGTGCCGCCCGGCCGGCCATCGGTGTGCGGTTCTCATGACTTGCATATGCATAAGGAGCGTTCTCTCGCGCCGACCGACTGTACGTCTCAGTCTCTGACCCTTGGGCCCCGTGGGCCCCTTGGGGCTACGGCTGATCTTTGCGTCGTCGGACTAGTCGCGGACGAGTCGGCCTGTCTCTCTCGCGGCCCGCGAGTGCGAGAGAGACAGGGCACTGCTCGGCCTGCCTGCAGGAGGTGCACGGCCGCGCTGCCGCCGAGCGAGGCGAGGCGAGGCGAGCGTGTTCAGCGGGCGGGGCGTAGTTGGCGTAGTTGTAGCAGTGCGGTAGCGCCGAGCCGACACGGTGCACCGCGGTGACGCCGACACGGCCAGCACGCCGCGCGCCGCGCCCCGCCAGAGTCCTCCGCAATTTGCATTATTTGCGCTCATTTCTGGAACACAATGGAGCCGTGCGTCTCGTCTCGGCCAGTCCCGGCACGGCGACGTCGAGACCCTTCCGTCTAATGAGATGCTAATGCCCCACGTGGCGCACCAACACCAACACAGCGCGCTGAGTAACGATCGCAATAAAGGTGCAATCGGTATCGACACATTCGTCGCCCCGTCTCTCTCGCACCCCCTTGCGAGAGTGGGACGCCCGCGAAGTGCGAGAGAGACGGCGGAGCGTAATTACAAGGCGGCGCTCGGCACTGGACAAATAGACGGCGACCCCTCACCCTGGCGGTGCCAGTGGCGGTGCCAGCGCCGCCGCCATTGGGACACGCCGCGTCCTACGCCATGGCGCGCCACCGCGGCCCACATGACCACCTCGGGGCGCCGATTTCTACTACTCTCAATTCGCCAGTCTACTCTGGAAACAATGACGCCGTGGTGGGCCGCGTGGACGTTGACCTAGAGCTCGGCGTCGAGGCCCCGGCGGCGGCGGCGTCGGCTTTCGCGGGGCGGCGTCGGGCGTCGCCGCGCAGGGCGAGCTCATTACAGAGGAGATCTGATAAGCCGAGCCGGACTGACATCTAGGCCCGCCGCCATGACCGCATTGTCATGGTCGTGGTGGGCCAGCTTCAGCACGCCCGCCCAAACCATGACGAGTTCGATGGTCGCCGCCGAGGGGCGCCGCGGCCGCGCGCCGACCGCCGCCACCGACCGCACCAGCGAGCAGAGAGCGTGCGTGCGCGCTCACATGTGCATGCACGCGCAGTGTGCGTGCATTACCCTTTGTACGTTTTCGGAGTGTGTGAACCCGACATAAAATCCGTACTCACCGCAGTGCAGTGTGTGTGTGCGCGTGTATGTATGGGTACCGCCACTAGTCTTTGCCTGCCGCTACACTTTGTAGGTCAAGGCCCCGCCCCGCCCCGCCCCGCCAAAGCACATTCCTCCACATTCATACCGCGCGTGCAGCCCGTGCAGTCCCATGGCCGCGCGGGGCTTTAATCAGAGCGCAGGCAGAGTTCTCCGAGGAGGGGCGGCTCCAGGCCAGCGCGGTGAGCATCGGCCGGTGACGCAACCGCGCCGCGTTCGAAAACCCTCTCCCGTCTCCGCCACTGCCATCGGCAGGGGGCGTTCCCATCGCGGACGAGAGCAACTCCCGCGCCCGCGTCAGTGGCTTCTTCGAACGGAAGCGCGCCATCCTTGAAACCGACAAGTCTTCGGCGCATCCGGTCCGTCGGTGTGGTTCCGCGTGGCCCGCGGCGGGCCGGGCGGGCCGCTCTGCTCCCACACCGGGGCGCCCGCCCGACGGCCGGAACAACTCGACATTGTATCGTACACGGTTAGCCGGTGAGCGGGTCCTTAATTCAATCCGGACAGAACGAATGCGCAGCCCGGCGCAGCCGCACAGAGACGCCGAGCCATAAATTTGTTCCTTGTCGGTGGCGCGGCCGCGGCCGGCCCGGTCCCCGGTAGTCGGCGACGCCGCCGCACGCCCACTTCGTAAAACCCGAACGGCCGACCCGAAACCGAACAGCCCGAACGGCCCAGCAGATAAAGCCCGAGTTATTAGCGCGGCCGGTACGGCACGGCGCGCCGCGGCGCGAGAGGCTTCTTCTCCTCCTCCTCTCCGATTAGCACCGGCTTTTCTCTTTTACCTCGTTTTTCTCCTTCGCCGCCGTCGGCACCGTCGGCGCGCCGCGCGGTCGGCGCTGATTCGCACGGAACTCTATCCAGCATCGCGGCCATCACGCCGCCTAATGGGTAGTCGGGCAATGCTAGCTCAGTATGGGGGATGACGGGGGAAAAGAGCCGCCGGCTGCCGTCTTTCGCTCTGTCTCTCTCGCACTCGTGGAGCGTGCCGCGTGCACATGCGAGAGGGACGGAATCAGCCTGCTGGACCGGCCCGGCCCGGCCTGGGCCTTTCATTGCAACCTTTCACTGAGACCGACGGACCGACCACGCGGCCGGCAGGCCATGGGCAGGCCAGCAGACGGCGCGCCAAATAGGGGGTCGCGGTGAGTTTGGATTGTGGATGCCCACTGGCTCCACAATAAACCACCCACGGCCGTTGTTGTGGGGCTGTGGGGCCTAGGCGAAGAGCGTGGGGAAAATAGAACGCTCTGGTTTCTGTTGGTTGGAGCTGGGCCTATGCCTCAGACGTCACCTAACCTCACCAAACCTAAGCTAGCCTAACCTAACCTGGTCGCTGACTGATGTCTTTCGCGGAGTGTACGAGGAACCGAAGGCGAGGACGACTTCCGGTGGCGGTATCAGTCCCACCGGTTTATAAGAGCACAGACTTGCCTTCGCATGTTAGTCGCCGCGGCATGGCGGCCTGGCGGCGCGGGGCTGCAGAAAATTAATCTCACACCCGTGCGCGCCGCGCGCCGCGCTCCGCACGCACAGTCGCACACGCATCACACACGTGCCGGTCACGCCCGCGCGCCGGAGACCGATTCCGCACGGCGCGTCTGCGCTCCGTCTCTCTCGCACCCGCAGGTCTACGCGAGACGCCCCGCGAGTGCGAGAGAGACAGCAGTCGGCGGAGCATCCGTGAATGGCGATAAATGCGCGTCGAGTTTCTAGGCTAGCCTGTAGGCTGCTCTAGGGACGCATGGAGTTGACATTTATGCTTTGGAGGGCGCCGCGCCGCGGCAGTGCCAAGCCTGGCCAGGCCGTGCGTGTTCGAGGGGCGCTAAATCATCTGCGTGACCCATCTATCTACGTTAGTTGCGCCTGGATGCAACCCCAGCGGCCGGCCGGACACTGCAAAAAGTTACATGCATTCAGTTACACGGTCGCGCGAAAATGGAAACGGAAATAACGGTGCTAGCGGGTGACGCGCTAGACGACGTACGCCCCGCCATCGACAGGCCCGGCCCCCGCGGCCCACGGCGCCTCGCCGGTCGCCCGGGCAGCCAGCCCCAGCCGTCAGCGCCCAACGACCGGAAAATAATAATGTGACAGGTGCAAAGCGGCGGGCTAGGCCGGCCCGCCTGCCCGGCGTGGTCACCGCGAAGGCAACGGAGGCGGGCCGACACTGCAGCACGCCGACAAGGCCGTCGCCCTCGCCGCCAAAGTGGTTTTTGGACCACGTCGCGGTGGCTTGGCGGCCGCGTTGGTTTCAGAAGCAGGCGCCATCCGTTTACAGACACGTCGCCGTCGCCGTGGGTCTTTCTGCTTGGCGGCAATGGCTTGACTCGGTGCGCGGCAAAAGTCTCCGCGGACTCAACCCGGATGTCGTTGGCGGCGTGGCCGCGGCGTGGCCGGCCGATGCGTGCCGCGCTGCAGTTAGGTCCGGCCCGCGCTCATCCCCCCCCCCCTCTCTCTCTCTCGCACGCCGGGCCGCGGTGCCGCGGTGCGGTGGTGTCAGGCAATGATGTCAGCTTGCGGGGAGGCTTCGCGCTCCGCGCCTTGCCCCGCGCCATGGATGCCCGCCTGGACTTGGAGGCCGCGCGCGGCCTTCGCAGCCCCCAGCCACGCCGGCCGAGTCGGCCCCTCCCCCTTCGCCTCCAGCCACTCCAGCAGACTCCAGGAGGAGGAGGGCCGGGCTCCAGGAGACGAGCACGGTCTCATTTACGCGTTCATCGTTTTACTGCGCTTAGCCCACTGCTTAGCCTAGCCCACTTCTGGACGGCCCCACTTTAGGCAGACAGACGGACAGACGGGCACGTCTGCGGGAACCAATCGGATCTCTCCCATCCGAATCGGCACGGCGAGTGACGTCACCCATTCACACGGCCGGGTTACGTTCGCCGCCTCGCGTGCCCCCCCCCCCCCCGCCTCCGTGGCCCGCTCCATTTACCCCCACCCCGCCCCGCCCCCTCCGTGATATTCGCACGTCAATGTGCACGGCGACCGAGCCAAAGCAAAGCCAGCCTGCAAAAAGAACAAGCTTTCTTCCTGAGAATTATCGCTGTACGAAAAAAGAGACAATAAACGGTGCGTTTGAGAGAGGAAAACTGTTGCACCACTCGGTGGCAAGGGGCGCGCTGGCACGCTGCATCCTTGACCTGTCAAGTGCTCCCGCCGTTCCTGCCGCTCCTGCCGCTCTGCCATCGGCCGGCGAAAATTGACACGTCCAGCCTTGGCATCTGGGCACCGCCGGGCACCCGTTCCCGTTTTCGTTACGTAACGGCGGCCGGGCTGCTCCACGCGGTCTACGCGTTGACTGGTGCGAGGGCCGACCGCGCCGTCGGTGCGAAAGCAATGCGAGGACGTCCCAGACTGATTGCTGTCCCTTCCTTGTTGCAGATGACCGCAAGTTCAGCTACACGGAGAAGCAGCGCTACGACGGCTGGTTCAACAACCTGGCGCACCCCAACTGGGGGTCCGTGGGTAAGTGTCCTTCATGCCGCTGCACTTGAACCCCTGCGCCTCGCGGCTCGCGCGCGAGGAGGTCATCGATTGGCTAGTTCGCCACGCTGCCGTCGTTGCCATGCGGTGGATGCGGCATGACGGAAACCCGCGCGTATCCACTTCTTCCATTTCTCTACATTTTATTATTTTTTTCCAAAGCCAAATGACGGGAAATCTTTTGCGTTTGGCGGCGGCGCGACTTGGCTCGTCTGCGCGATGACGTGGCTCTGTCCAGAGTTTCGCCCCGGGCCGACACACCGACACACCGCAGCACTGACCGCAGGGACCACAGCCAGGGCCCAGGAGGCCGGCGCTGGAGGTCCTTTCGTATTTTCAGTATTTTTTGTTTTTTCGTAGGGAGGAGGGTGGGGACGGTGGAGGGGAGGGCGGGCCCAGAGCATTGAAGCAATAATTCGGAAAACGCTAATTGGGGAGTCGTGACGAGAGCGAGAGAGACGAGACCAGCATGAGCCATTGCCGCGGTCAAGCCGAAGCGACGCCCGGGACGGGCATTGTGTCCCAAGGCCCCGGAGCCCCGGAGGTCCGGCGGGCTTGGTCGCCCCGTCTCTCTCGCTCTCCAGGGGCGTCCCGTTGGGTGCGAGGGAGACAGGGCGACGGCGCGCCGTTCGGTAACAGGCCCTGCCGGTCCTTGGCGCGCCCTTGTGCGCCTTTTGCAGCGCAAGGCCGGCAGTAATGGCGGGACTAATGAATCGGCCGCACCTCCAAATGATTCCAGAGATAATTAATAAACTCGAAAGCGGTTTCCGAAAGCGGTGCCGTTTTCGTGTTCTCGCCCGGCCTGTCATGTCGCCGTGTTGGCCGTGTTGCCGTGCCGGGCCGTGCCGTGGTGGGCGGTCTCGTTCGCCCGGAGTCGTAGTGGCAAGTAGTTTGGCGGGGCCACTGATCGGCGATCGCGCACCGCGCGCCACCGCGGGTCGGGGACCACGACGACGTGGCCGCACTTCCGGGCCGGATTGCGCAGTGTAGTGGCGGCCGACTTTTATTTTCACGCGGAATTCAATTCATTTCCCGTCCGAAAGTGTCTGTTGTTCGCGGCTGCCGATACGAGAAGGACGGCCGTCCGTCAATGTGACTCACTCCGAACCTCAACAAGGCGGCAGGAAAGTTTCCGGAGCACGTCGCGGATGCATGGCCACGCCCAGGGCTCAGCGACGATGACGCCCTGGCCGTGGCGAGCCGCGCCGGACCCAGCCGGGCCGAGGGGCCACAAATCAAAAGGCGTCCCGCCAAAAAGTCGTGCCAATAGAGGGCCGCGGCGTGATTAGAAGGCGGTCACACGCGCGCTCTCACACACACACACGCACTGTCTCTCACACACATGCGCGCTTAAAGAGACAGGAAGGCTGCTCCGACCGCCGAAAGTCGGCCTTGCGTCCGATCCATTGTCTCTGTCAACCTGTCCGGCCAACACATCATGTTGCGATACAAGTAGTCCGGGGCCCTTGGCCTCGGCCCGGCTGGGCCCGGCAGTGCTGGCCCGCGCCGCGAATGCGAGACTGTACCGCACGCCGACGGGGACCACGGAGACGGAGGAACGGCCCGGAGACGTACAGTGTACAGTCGCAGTCGCCCGCACTAGCAAATCTGTTTTATGGCCGAGGATTTGGACACGGTTCTACTGCCGGCGTTTCCCATGGGCGCGGGGCGTTCCACTTCGCGGGGCGTTCCAACCGCGGGGTGTTCCAAACCGCGGGGCGTTCCAATCCGCGGGGCATTGCATCGGGGCGGGGCGTGGCCCGGAGTGGCGCCGCGCCCACGGGCCTCAGGCTCAGGCTTCACACATTGTGCCATCGCAGCACAGCGGAGCGCGGCGGCGCGGCCCGTCCGACTGAATGCCTCTAATGCTTCAATGCAAATCGGACGGGACGGACAGAAACGAGACTGGACGTCTGGGCCGCCAAGGCTCGCGCCAAGGCGCCTCCATGTCCAAGGCCAGTCCGAGTCCGGCCGGCCAGGACCACTTATGTCGTCCAGATGTGCATCGGCTGCGCGCGGCCCGCGGCGCCGGGCGGAGAAGACGCGTTCTTAGAGAACGCCTCCCACAAGCCCGGAAAAAAACTGTCGCGACGCCGGGCTTCGAAGCCAGGCCTTTTACGCGCGGTGCGCCGTCACCTGGCTGCCGGTAGCCGGCGCGGCGCCGCGAGACGGCCAGACGGCCAGACGGGAACTGATCCGCTTGTCGACCCGCAATTAAAGTTGGAGTCGCGGTGCGTCGCGTCGCTGGCGGTGCATCCAGCGCCAGCGTGCGCCAGCGTGCGCCTGCCCCGCGGCCAGGAGGCGGAGGAGGCGGGCAAGGCCGCGACGCACCGCGACGGCCCGCCGCGGAGAAGCATGCACGCCCAACTCGGCTGGCTCGCCGCGCCGACCCGACCAGGTCCTGCCTCCATGATGCTCTTCTTCACCGTCTCCCTTGTGTTACAGAGAGCCGGCTGACGCGCAAGGCACCGTCCGCCTACAGCGATGGCGTGTACATGCTGGCCGGCATGCATCGGCCGTCGCCGCGACGCCTCAGCCAGGTGTTCATGCGCGGCCAGGACGGCCAGGCGTCGGCGCGCAACCGCACCGCGCTGCTGGCCTTCTTCGGCCAGGTGGTGAGCTCCGAGGTGGTGATGGCCAGCGAGAGCGGCTGCCCCATCGAGATGCACCGCATCGAGGTGGACCGCTGCGACGAGATGTACGACAAGGAGTGCAAGGGTGGCCGCTTCATCCCCTTCCACCGCGCCAGCTACGACCGCAGCACCGGCATCAGCCCCAACAGCCCCCGCGAGCAGGTCAGTCATTTCACCATTATGCCCAGGCTTCCCGCCTTCCCTGTCGGAATCTTCCTCCAGTCAACGCGCTCCAGTCCGCCAGGGCCAGGCTCCGCGCGTGAGACCGCCCCGCCTGGCATTGCCGTGCCGGCCCGGCCCGGCCGGGATGACACAGCGGCCTGCCCGTTGGGCGCCGCCGGGGCACTGGCGGCGGTACTGCGGGGGTGGGGAGATAATGATTCGGTCCCGAACACGGATGCGATCGCCTTTTGTTCGGCCGAGCTCCGAGTTTACAATTACAAGTGCGAAACGTGACGGCCGCGGGGCAAGCCGGCAAGGCAAGCCGGCAAGCCGCGAGTCGCGGGGGCCTTCCCGGGAGGGAATACAGTCGGTGCGGCGCGGCCAGTGCTTTCGCCGCCAGCCGCCAGCCGCCGGGCGAGTGGCTTCCTTCCTCCGGATTCAATAAAAGCTTTCCGCGCCGCGTCGTGCCGTGCCGCGCCCCGCCACGGCAAAGAGGCGTCGTTTGCGCCGAAACCAGGCCGAATGACTCGCCGTTCGCGGGCCAGGGGCCAGGCAGGGACCGCCCGGAAGCCGCGTATTTATTTTCAAAAAACACTAAATTGGTGACGCCATTGACGGCCGAGCCCTGAACGAAACGACGCGCGGAAAATCCGCCGATTGCTCCCTGCACTGCAAGTGCAATGAGGAAGACGCGCCGGTTAGAACGAAATCGTTGATCCCCGCGCTTCAGTCATAATCGTCATAATGCACGCCGTTGGTAATGAATGGTAATGATAACCGTGGCGAGTTCCCCGGTCGTTACTCGGCCGAGGCAAGGCGTGTCTCGACGCTCCAGGCGTTCGCGCGCCGTTAAAAAAAAATCTGTTATTTTGCTTCTGCGCGGCGTCGCGGCGGCGCGGCGGGGTGGCGGGCTGGGTGCTTGCAGTTTTATACGGCTTTATTAACGACTTATTTAGTTTACGAGCGCCGCCCTTCGCGGCCACCGCAACTCCTTCGCTAACGGGATTAAGCAGCGAAAGGCAGACGACGAAAATAGAGACATGCGGACTGGGCAGGATTACGCGCGAGTCTCATGCAACACGGCCGGCGTCTACAGCAGCGTCTCTCAACCTTTCTCGGCTCGCGACCCCAAATTTGAAGCCAAAAATTTCCGCGACCCCCAGGAAAAATTTCGCGACCCCACGGGACCCCTCCTTTAACATGCCACGGCGTCTGATCCGAGGCGGGCATTTTGCTCCCTCAACGGGCAGTTGGTCTTTGGACCTTCCTTTAGCATGCCTTTGTTACGGAGTGCAATTATGAGTCTTAGTTTGGGAGCAGTATTGTCTCAAAGTTGGCCAAAACGCTCAGAAATGTCTGTAAAAATTCGTGTTTTGGGCCGATTTTAAGCAGCCACAGCGTCTGATCTGAGGTGGGCATTTTGCTCCCTCAACGGGCAGTTGGTCTTTGGACCTTCCTTTAGCATGCCTCTGTTACGGAGTGCAATTATCAGTCTTAGTTTGGGAGCAGTATTGTCTCAAAGTTGGCCGAAACGCTCAGAAATGTCTATGAAAAATCGTGTTTTGGACCGATTTTAAGCAGCCACAGCGTCTGATCCAAGGCGGGCATTTTGCTCCCTCAACGGGCAATTGGTCTTTGGACCTTCCTTTAGCATGCCTTTGTTACGGAGTGCGATTGTCAGTCTTAGTTTGGGAGCAGTATTGTCTCAAAGTCGATCAAAACGGTCGCAAGTGTCTTTGAAAAATCGTTGTGACTATTTTGATCGACTTTGAGACAATACTGCTCCCAAACTAAGACTGATAATCGCACTCCGTAACAAAGGCATGCTAAAGGAAGGTCCAAAGACCAATTGCCCGTTGAGGGAGCAAAATGCCCGCCTCGGATCAGACGCAGTGGCTGCTTAAAATCGGCCCAAAACACGATTTTTCATAGACATTTCTGAGCGTTTCGGCCAACTTTGAGACAATACTGCTCTCAAACTAAGACTGATAATTGCACTCCGTAACAAAGGCATACTAAAGGAAGGTCCAAAGACCAATTGCCCGTTGAGGGAGCAAAATGCCCGCCTCGGATCAGACGCTGTGGCTGCTTAAAATCGGCCCAAAACACGATTTTTCAAAGACACTGCTGACCGTTTCGGCCAACTTTGAGACAATACTGCTCCCAAACTAAGACTGATAATCGCACTCCGTAACAGAGTCATGCTAAAGGAAGGTCCAAAGACCAACTGCCCGTTGAGGGAGCAAAATGCCCGCCTCGGATCAGACACAGTGGCTGCTTAAAATCGGCCCAAAACACGATTTTTCATAGACATTTCTGAGCGTTTTGGCCAACTTTGAGACAATACTGCTCCCAAACTAAGACTGATAATTGCACTCCGTAACAAAGGCATGCTAAAGGAAGGTCCAAAGACCAGTTGCCCGTTGAGGGAGCAAAATGCCCGCCTCGGATCAGACGCCGTGGCATGTTAAAGGAGGGGTCCCGTGGGGTCGCGAAATTTTTCCTGGGGGTCGCGGAAATTTTTGGCTTCAAATTTGGGGTCGCGAGCCGAGAAAGGTTGAGAACCGCTGGTCTAGTGCACGCTAAAAAACAGCCTTCTGCAAAAAAAGGCCAAAAAAACAAAAACATTAAAAACAAAAAAGTTTTTAATAAATCTCGCTATTAGGAAGATAGTGCGTAAAAAAAATAAAATCATCGAGCTAATTTTTTTTTTTCATTTTCTAGCTGAACCGCGCCACCTCCTGGATCGACGGCAGCTTCGTGTACTCGACGTCGGAGGCGTGGGCGTCGGCGCTGCGCTCCTTCAAGAACGGCACGCTCAAGACGGAGGCGGGCGGCCGCCTGCCCGTGCGCAACACCATGCGGGTGCCCTTGTTCAACTCGCCGGCGCCGCACGTGCTGCGCACCGGCAGCCCCGAGCGCCTGTTCCTGCTGGGCGACCCGCGCACCAACCAGAACCCCGCGCTGCTGTCCTTCGGCATCCTCTTCCACCGCTGGCACAACGTGCAGGCCGCCAGGGTGCAGCGCCAGCACCCCACCTGGCCCGACGAGGAGGTGTTCGAGCGCGCGCGCCGCCTCGTCGTCGCGTCCATGCAGGTGAGCAGCGAAGCAGCGATACCCCGCGCCGGCGGAAGTCTCCACAGGCAGGGGGTAACCGCGACCACCGCCTCTCTTGCAGAACGTCATCATGTACGAGTACCTCCCCGCCTTCCTGGGCCAGCCCATGCCCGGCTACGAGGGCTACAAGGCCGACGTGCACCCGGGGGTGAGCCACGCCTTCCAGAGCGCCGCCTTCAGGTTCGGCCACACCCTCATCCCGCCGGGCATCTACCGGCGCGACGGCAAGTGCCAGTTCAGAACCACCAACAGCGGCTTCCCCGCGCTGCGGCTGTGCTCCACCTGGTGGGACTCCAACGTGAGTAGATACCCCGCGCCGCGTTGCATGGAGTATCTCCGCGGCCGCGCCATGACCTTTCTCTCTCTCTCTCCCGCAGGACGTGTTCGCGGACTCGACGGTCGAGGAGCTGCTACGCGGTATGGCGTCGCAGATCGCGGAGCGGGAAGACCCCGTGCTGTGCTCGGACATCCGCGAGAAGCTGTTCGGGCCCATGGAGTTCTCCCGCCAGGACCTCGGCGCGCTCAACATCATGCGCGGCAGGGACAACGGGCTGTCGGACTACAACACCGTCCGCAAGTACTTCCACCTGCCCAGGATCAAGGAGTGGTCCGAGATCAACCCCAAGCTGTTCGCACAGCGGCCCGAGCTGCTGCAGCAGGTGGCCTCCATGTACAACAACCAGGTGGACGACGTGGACCTCTACATCGGCGGCATGCTCGAGTCGGTGGACGGCCCGGGCGAGCTGTTCAGCGCCATCATCAAGGAGCAGTTCTTGCGCATCCGGGACTCGGATAGGTTCTGGTTCGAGAACACGGAGAACGGGTAAGTTGCTGCGAGTACGAATGCCCGGGTTGTCCGTCCGAAGCCCCCGTGGCTACGGCTGTCCCGCTCAACAGCGGTGCGTGCGGGTTGCCTACCCGCCGCTCGTAAGGCGCTTTGTTCCTGGTGCACGCCTGGAGCCGCGAGCCCAGGCCACTGGGAAATTTTTCGACGGTGCGCCCCTTTGTCCTCAGGATCTTCACGGAGGACGAGATCGCCGAGCTGCGCAAGATCCGCATGTGGGACATCGTGGTGAACGCGACGGACGTGCAGCCCGGCGAGGTGCAGCGCGACGTGTTCTTCTTCAAGGACGGCGACCCCTGCCCGCAGCCGCAGCAGCTCAACCCCTCGCTGCTGGAGCCCTGCCAGTTCCTCAAGGGCTACGACTACTTCGAGGCACGTCCTCCACTAGTGCGGCGTGGATTTGAACTGTTTCCGTTTTCCGTCGCTGATTGTATTGTTTGTTGATTGCCTGCAGGGCAGCGAGCTGGCCTACATCTACGCCTGCGTGTTCCTGGGCTTCGTGCCGCTGGTGTGCGCCGCGGCGGGCTACGGCGTCGTCAAGCTGCAGAACCGGCGTCGGCGGCGCCTCAAGATGCGCCAGGAGCAGCTCAAGACCAGCACCACCGGCAAGCCCAACGTGGACAAGATGTCGGTGTGCGAGTGGCTGCACGCCAACCACAAGCGCCTCGTGAAGGTGCGCTTCGGGCCCGAGGTGGCCATGCACACGGTGGACCGCAAGGGCGACAAGCTGCGCACCATCAGCTTCTCCAACATCGACTCCCTGACGGTGGAGGAGTCGGTGTGCACGGGGCTGCGCGGCTCGGGCGGCTCGGGCCGCGGCAAGAAGCCGCTGGTGCTGGTGCGGGTGCCGCGCGACCACGACCTGGTGCTGGAGTTCGACTCGCTGGCCTCACGCCGCAAGTTCGTCTCCAAGCTGGAGGCCTTCCTGGCGCTGCAGAAGAAGCACCTGGTGACGGTGCAGGGCACGCGCGAGCAGATGCTGGCCAACGCCGAGACGCGCGAGCGCCGCCAGAAGCGCCTCGAGCACTTCTTCCGCGAGGCGTACGGCCTCACCTTCGGCATCAAGCCGGGCGAGAAGCGGCGCCGCTTCCAGGAGACGGGCGAGAACGGCGAGGTGGTCACCGTCATGAGGACCTCCTTGTCCAAGAGCGAGTTCGCGAGCGCGCTCGGCATGCGGCCCGACGCCGTCTTCGTGCGCATGATGTTCAACATCGTGGACAAGGACGGCGACGGCCGCATCTCGTTCCAAGAGTTCCTGGACACGGTGGTGCTCTTCTCGCGCGGCAAGACGGAGGACAAGCTGCGCATCGTGTTCGACATGTGCGACAACGACAGGAACGGCGTCATCGACAAGGGCGAGCTGTCCGAGATGCTGCGCTCCCTCGTCGACATCGCCAGGACCAACAGCCTGTCGGACCAGCAGGTCACCGAGCTCATCGACGGCATGTTCCAGGTGAGCACTGCAACTTTTCAACGACCCCAGCACGGCAGGCTGAGCGGTGGAACGGGGACCAGCCGTTTTAAAATGTATCTTTTGCGCTTTTCAGGACGCCGGGCTGCAGCACAAGGACTACCTCACGTACAACGACTTCAAGCTCATGATGAAGGAGTACAAGGGTGACTTTGTGGCAATCGGCTTGGACTGTAAGGGCGCCAAGCAGAACTTCCTCGACACTTCCACCAACGTGGCACGGTACGCTGCATGAAGTTCCTGGTGCCATGTTTGCCCACCTCCGGGAGTAAAAAGGCTAAAAGTATACCTCCGCCTCCTCGTCCCCAGAATGACCAGCTTCCACATCGAGCCGATGCACGACGAGCGGCGCCACTGGCTGCTGCGCAAGTGGGACTGCATCACCACCTTCCTGGAGGAGAACCGCCAGAACATCTTCTACCTGCTGCTCTTCTACGTCATCACCATCGCCCTGTTCGTGGAGCGGTTCATTCGTGAGTACCCTGTCGGCCCTTTCCCTGCCAGCGCGGACGACGGACGTGTGGACTTTGACTTTGCTCTGCCCCCAGACTACTCGTTCCTGGCCGAGCACACCGACCTGCGCCACATCATGGGCGTGGGCATCGCCATCACCCGCGGCTCGGCGGCGTCGCTGTCCTTCTGCTACTCGCTGCTGCTGCTCACCATGTCGCGCAACCTGCTGACCAAGCTCAAGGAGTTCTCCATCCAGCAGTACATCCCCCTGGACGCGCACATCCAGTTCCACAAGATCGCGGCGTGCACGGCGCTGTTCTTCTCGCTGCTGCACACGGTCGGCCACATCGTCAACTTCTACCACGTGTCCACGCAGCCCATCGACCACCTGCACTGCCTCACCAGCGAGGTGCACTTCCCCTCGGACTACAGGCCGAGCATCACCTTCTGGCTCTTCCAGACCGTCACAGGTGCGTGCTCGCGCTGCAACCTAACCTAGCCTAACCTAACCTAACCTTATCTAACCTAGCATCGAGGGGAACCTCTTGCGCGCTGTCTCTTACCCGCCTTGTTCGTTCGCAGGTCTGACAGGGGTGATGCTGTTCGTGATCATGATCATCATCTTCGTGTTCGCGCACCCCATCATCCGCAAGAAGGCGTACAAGTTCTTCTGGTCGGCGCACAGCCTGTACGTGCTGCTGTACGCGCTGTGCCTCATCCACGGCCTGGCCAGGCTCACCGGCGTGCCGCGCTTCTGGATCTTCTTCATCGGCCCCGGCATCGTGTACACGCTCGACAAGGTAGGTCCTCGTCGGTGGCGACGCGAGTTCAAATACCCTCGAAATCACTTCTTAACAATTTTTTGTCAGGTCGTGAGCCTGCGCACCAAGTACATGGCGCTGGACGTGATCGAGACCGAGCTGCTGCCGTCCGACGTGATCAAGGTCAAGTTCTACCGGCCGCCCAACTTCAAGTACCTGTCGGGGCAGTGGGTGCGCCTGGCGTGCACCGCCTTCCGCGCCGAGGAGTTCCACTCCTTCACGCTCACGTCCGCGCCGCACGAGAACTTCCTCTCGTGCCACATCAAGGCGCAGGGCCCGTGGACCTGGAAGCTGCGGAACTACTTCGACCCCTGCAACTTCAACCCGGAGGAGGACCATCCAAAGGCACGCACCCATCCCATCAACCCATTCCCACTCCCCTTCATTTTAATTTAATTTCAATGAAGTAATTTTAATTTTCTTTTTCGGCTCGTAGATTCGATTAGAGGGGCCGTTCGGCGGCGGCAACCAGGACTGGTACAAGTTCGAGGTGGCGGTGATGGTGGGCGGCGGCATCGGGGTGACACCCTACGCGTCCATCCTCAACGACCTCGTCTTCGGAACGTCCACCAACCGATACTCAGGCGTCGCCTGCAAAAAGGTGCGAGTGTGGTTCACTTCGCGGCGGGAACCCCAAACTTGCAGCTTGTCTAAACCGTGCCTTCCCTTGCCACCGCTCGCAGGTGTACTTCCTGTGGATCTGCCCGTCGCACCGACACTTCGAGTGGTTCATCGAAGTGCTGCGCGACGTGGAGCGCAAGGACGTGACCAACGTCCTCGAGATCCACATCTTCATCACGCAGTTCTTCCACAAGTTCGATTTGAGAACGACCATGCTGGTGAGTCCAAGAGCGCCTGCGAACCGGGCGGTAGGCAACCCGGCGCACGCCCCTGCTTTGCAGCCCCGCCATTACCATTACCATTACGGGCTAGACCACCACTGATCGTATGCCGTTTCGGGCCGAGAGTCGAACCAGCAGATGCCTTAATTTGTGAATCTGCTGTTTCAGTACATCTGCGAGAACCACTTCCAGAGGTTATCAAAGACCAGCATGTTCACCGGGCTCAAGGCCGTGAACCACTTCGGCCGGCCGGACATGTCCTCGTTCCTCAAGTTCGTCCAGAAGAAGCACAGTTATGTGAGTAGTTTCATTGTTCTCGCTTTGTTATTGGTATCTGGTAATGTATTTCCTGCTCTAAACGCATGGGGGCTGTTTTGATTTATTTTTTTAGGTGAGCAAAATAGGAGTGTTCAGCTGTGGCCCTCGTCCACTCACTAAGAGCATCATGGCAGCCTGTGAGGAGGTCAACAAGGGACGCAAGTTACCATACTTCATCCACCACTTCGAGAATTTCGGGTGAACTCCGTTCTCGGATAGTTTTAGATGCAATTGGCTGTGAAGCACCAGGTGCATGCCTGGGCTACCGTACCTGGGTCGCGCCCTTATGTTGTATTTTCTTTTAAATTTGGGAAGTGAGTGTTCAGTTTAAATTTACAGGTTGTTTGCATGTTGTGGAACATGTTTGGAACTGGCCTTCTTTTATGAGGCCAAACTTTAAGTTATTAATTCATTCTGTAACAAAAATTGTTTATACTTGTTTAGCTTATGCCATGAAATTGCGTGGTAAGGAAAAGCTGTTCATGTTGTGCTTGTCACACAGAAAAGGGGGAATTCCTCGCACCTAGCTTGCCTAGGCTTCTGTTCCTATGAGGACGAGCAGGCTATCCTGCGCGACATGGGGTGGATTGGGCTTTGGCCATATGTCATGTGTGTCCCCCCGGATACTCGAACTGAGCTAATAAGTAACTTTGTGATGCGGAGTAGTCCACGGACCTCACGAGACGCCACGGTACGAAGCTGTACTGCCCGATGGGGAGGGGGAGGCAATCCGCGTCAGGTGTCAAAGCCTAGTACAGCAATCGTTCTTTAAAAACCTCTTTTCAGAGATTGCAATTGCCTTATTTATTTTTGATGGGGATAAAATCACTTGAACTCCCACCCAAAATGTGCCATGAGGTACACCAAGTGTCACCTCTTTATCGATGCCCTCAAAGGAATGATATGATTAATCTGTAAATCAGACTCTGCTGGTCGAAAGGTCCAATTACATGTGACATGTGAACCACGTTCTATGTGCGGGCACATAGACATTGTGTATATCTTGCTATTTTTATACTTTGCTAATTGGCTTCTGTTTTCTATAGTATTGAGCCAAGGTGTATTGAGACCATTGAGAGAATATTGAGCAAGATGAATGTGTTCCTATTTCTAAATAATGCACTAGAAAACGGCAGGTGTGATATTTTGGTGCTGAGAAATGTATTATTCTTCTTTTTTTTTTCAGAAATAAAATAATTTTATAACTACAGAGATATTTTTTTGTCTGTACCCATGCGTCTTGGGGCTTTTTCAGCCTCTAGCGAAAAACTGGAATAATTTGAGCATGCGCTGGAAAGGTAGGCAACCCATCGTCCACAGAGTAGCAGCTCCGCATTGATCCAACCCTACGAGGCCTTCCCCAAAGTGAGAAAGCAGGGTGAGAAGCCCCAATCTTATCAAATTTTCTTTCCCAATGGCAATGGTTCTTTCCACACATATTTTTTCTGATATTTGATTGGTTGTAAAAGAGAAACAAAAGAAGAACAGCTTTGAGACATGAAAGCCTACATGTTATTGCCAATTGTTTATTACTGATATAAAACAGAAAACTCTTCATTTAGCTTTGCTCACAATATCAAATATTTCATTCACCACATGTTTGACTGGGCGTGTTGAATCCACTTCCAGTATCTGAGGCTCATACATTCGGCGGTATGCTTCATTTATACTGCAAGAAAAAATAAAATAAGTTAAAGAAATGTCATAAAAATGAAAGTGAAGCAAAAGTGAGATTTAACATCAAAAAGAGACTCACACTTTTCTAAAGTTAGCTTCTTTGGCAAGTCGGTCTTCTTCAGCAGTCGCTGTCTGCCGTCTAGAGATTCTCTTCATGCGTTCAGCTTCAGTAACTTGAAGGAAGATAACCTTCTCTGGATAAGGCTTCAAATCTTTGGGCCACTGATAAATTTGATCCCCAGCAGGTGGGAGCATAGCCACATCATCAACTTCACCTGCCAAAGCATAGGCAGCAGTGCTGTGCCAGAACCTGAACATAATAGACAAAGGCTTAGCATTCATCAAGAACAAAGACTTTTGCATCAGTTAGGAAACTGTTATTATCTGTATCAACCTACCTGTCTAAAATAACAGGTTTTTCTTCCAATAATTCATTTATTTCCAATGCAGCAGCATAGTTAGTGAGGCTGTAATAAGCTCTCCTTATATGGTTTGGTTGCTGGTCAAAGAAAGGCCGAAGGGCAGCAAATTGAGGACCTGGAGTGGACATTTTAACGCCTCCTAAGCGCTTTGAAAGTAAATGCGTAACAGTAGTTTTTCCTGCAAGAATAAACACAACTTACACTAATGACTAAATAAAATTCATGACTCAATATTGACAAAAATTGCACGACGTACCACTGGCGTCGAGACCCTCCACAACTATTAAAGGGTGTCGATTATGAAGTTCACTAAGTTTCTTCTCAGGATCATAACCTTTCAAGAACAATGTGACAGCTTCTTGTACTTCAGGTATTGAGGCAAGCTAAATATAGAGGGATTGGAGTCAATGCATAAAACTCAGCCTTATAGCACATATACTGTCCAGCTTACCTCTTCAGATCTGAAGACTTGCAGTACCTCCTCAAGAGAATGATAAATACCCCATTTCCTCATAATTTTTCCTTTTGAAAAAAATAATAAAAAAAATAGTACAGAAATGCTTATTATTAAAACAATCCTTTCGAGGTTATGGAACGAAAAGAGGAAGTCAGCTAAAGAAATAAGAAACACTGAGGAGATCTTGGTCTAATTTCCAGAGTAAACTCCTGTTGCACAACTGCAGGTAGATAGAGGGAAAAGGGGAATACTGTTGTTGTCAATGGGACCTCCCCAAAAAAATTTAGCGGCATCAGCTTCTGGTCAGTTTCACCACTACAACCGCATGAACAACATGACAACGTGCATGACTCGCGCGACAGTAGTTTCACCTGGTTGAAATCTTTGGTAGGAAAGGAAAAGGTTGCAGATCGAGGTATATTTGAATGCTGCGTCTTTGTTAGGGCTTTCCTTCAAAACGGTTTTCGAGGTTTCAAAAAAGTATTGTGGTTGGCTACTCTGGGTGTCGAATGGGAGGCCTACCCTGCCGGCGGCGAAGCGCTGGCTGGGCAGATAGGCGTTTGTAACTGCTCACCATTCATATTTCAGTGTAGCTTTTGGGGCATTCCAAATTTTTTTTCCAGTCTTTTACTAAGCTTTTTGTGCAACAGGGACACTTTGTCTGTGGATGGCTGTGCTTCACCTCATGTAGCTGGGGGATTTTAAATTTTAGACTTTGTGTACAGATGGCTGTTGATTATTATTGGCACGATTGAAAGCCGTTTCACAGCTGCGATGTCTGTAGAAGGTGCTTGAGTTAGATTTAAATGTCTGATGGAGATGTTTCTTTTGATTTATAATTCTTCTTAAATGTTTCTGTTGAGGAAGATCTTTGGTTGACTGTTCAGAAGATGATAATGTAACTGTCTTCAAATTTTATTACTTGACAATTCATAAATGTTCAATGAACTTAAAGCAGCCCTACACAATTAAAATAATTTTCAATAAAGATCTATGTTACCAACCTTTTATAAATAGGTTGCTAAATGTTTTGAATTGCCTAAATATCAATTTGGCACCAGCCTAACATAACTATCTATTCATGCACTTAAGAGAAACAAGTTATTGATATGAAACTCAATTTCATGAAGAAAGCTTATGACAGATTGTCATGAGTTGTACTTGGACGATAAAAATGTGTAAAAGTAAGTGGGTAACCTTAAACATTATAAACACGATACCCAAGACTTAGCTGGTCATGGTAATTTACTCTTTCTCACTTCTTAGACTACACAATATATACTCTGTTGATTTCTTCAAGTCTTATGAATTCACATTAAAATTTCTTGGAAAATATCTTTTGAAGATAAATATGTACAAAACAACATAAAGCTGCCAATTTGGGACTAAAGAGGAAGAATCTTTAACACGTCCTTTTTCTAAACAATGGATATTTTCATACATCAATAGTGGTTTTGTGCATTGTTTAATGAAACAGGAACAAAAAGAAAGTACTTCCTAACAATCAACATCTACAACTCTAAGCCCACTGGCATTTCGTATACACAATGGTTAAGTATCCATCATATAATCAAGTAATGGAACACACTCACACACAAGCAAATAAACAGTCTACCATGGAATTCAACAAGAACTGAGGCAATGACAAATAAACATCTCATACATTAACAATCCAAATACATCTAATGAGCAATAAAATTTAATTACGTAAATGATATGGAACAAAATCACAAAATTTGGATCTTGGATTGTAAAATAATTTCTCTCTGAAAACAAAGAAACTAAGGAATTACAGGAAAATCCCAACAAAAGTTAGCACCTTTAACAGTTTAAAGAACTGATACTAATTTATAGCTGTTAGTGTTACACATTTGCAACAACCCGAGATTACTGATGTGCACCGATAGGAACAGCATGTAAGATAAACTTAAGTACACTTGAACTTTAAATCACAGAGAATGATTGAGTAAAATTAACAAGGCATGGAGTCACTGAGGCAGTAAGTACTAACAGTTTGATGAACATTAGCTTGGATTTCTTTTAGCTTTAATTTCTGCTACCCCATTTTAACTCCAATAGAGAAATTATTCCGTGTAATAACAGCATGGTTGAACATTGATTTTAAACTAAAATGTGAAAACCACAAAGTGAAACATTGGACAGTTTATTTTCTCCCTCAAGAAAACAGCAGAAACATACAATATTTTTTAAAAATAATTTAAGGAGTGAAAGAACAAACAACAAACTTTTCCTGTGCCTGTGTGATATCACAAATGTTAATGACCTTACGTACTTCTCCATACACACATACATGAATGGATCCTCTATACGCTCATTGAGACAGCACAGTATCAGCTACTTTAAACTAACGAAAATTTTTTAGGAATCATTCCACCTAAAGGTAATCTTTCAGATTCTCCCCAATATAGTTTCAGTTAACTTTGCCTTAATAATACAATAGCTTTACACTTTTTTTTTGTAAGGGAGACTCTAAATTACCATGAGTCACAAGTTAAGACACAAATAGAAAAATGGCACTGTTATTTATCAAGTGAAGGTTGTCGTCTTAATTTCAATTCTACAGATTGGATAAGGTTTTTAGGTGGCTAAAAGATCATGAACTAGTAGAATCGTTGGGCTACAGTACAAAATTTTTAAGTCATAGAATATTTACTTCTACAAGGGAAATTTGTTCTCCTATAATTTAAACTGAGATTTGTTCTAATGGAAATTATATTCGTAATGTATGTCTCTGTTTAGCTTTGGAGCAAAAATGGTTGAAATGTAATGTGTTAACAGACTTTGTCAAAACACTATATACTCTCACAAAAGAAAGTTTAACAATTTAACAAAAAAACAAGAGAAGGAAGGATAAAAGTGCACACATGTCCTTGTACACTTAAGGAAAGGAAACTCTTGACCCTAAGAAATAAAGCCAGTACTTCTGGACTCTTGACATAGCCCATTTTAGACTTGGGTCTTATAGATTGATAAGAATATTTCTAGAAACAACAAATATACTGAGGAGCCAATCCTTTAAAATTGTCTCAGCATATACAACATCCAAACACTATATTCGACTTTTTTTTTTTGCTTTACAATCAAACAAAATTGAACAAGGGGATTATTTTGACTGATTACTTATGCTCAACAAAGCAATTTGGTTTTGGTAACCAGTGGTCATAGAGTTGTAATAAACTTTAACTAATTATAAAACTAAGAAAGCTTTACTAACATATTTTAAAGAAGCTCTATAAAACAGAAAATGCATTCTTATGCAGTCATTGTAAACAAATTGGCAAGTTTTGAAACATAACATGATAATTGGAGTGAACATGCGCAAAACTTAAACACACATCACAGAAAAGCAGCTTTTCATCCTCTTTATTTACACTGAAAAATAAAAATTATGAAAGCCCAGCGATTTAGTAGATTGACTAACTATCCTTTACAAATTTCTCCGAATACTCAGGAGATAATAGTTCCTTGATGAAGGTTTTTAATAGTTTAAGAAAAGTTTTAATATTAAAAGAGCAGACTTAGAAAGATACCTGAGCTCTAGAGGGTTGTTTTATGTTTGCTTAAGAAATGGCAGACATCAAATAATTTCCTTACAGATAGCATTTAGAAAATGCTATTTCCCAGGTAACACTTGTGCAAGAAATGATGCAGAGATCAGAAAAGGTTGCCATGGCATCTCTTATGATGTGTGAGAGGAGTCACCCAATAATGGTAATCAACAAGAAAGGAATCAAAAGAAAGAAGGTAACAAGAGAAAATAATTCAGTTCCAATATGCAAGTAAGACACAGTCCACATAAATGACTTCCAACACAAGCAATACTTTCACTCCTTGAATATCAATTACAATTTACATTCTGAAAGAAGAAACCTGATGTTAACCAGAAGTTAACTAAATCTCATTTGACTCAAGTACACTTAGGCCTACACATCTGAATGCAACATTAAATGTAGATAGCTTACCACTTTCACACACACAACCAGGCACTCATCTTGCTTTCACACAATTAAATTACCACATTTTAATATTTGTTCGTATAAATCACAAAAAAATTAATTAACATTTACATTTTACCACTAATCTGCATGGAGATCACGGGGAAAACACATCACACAACACAAGTCCACATTTAACGGAAACAATCATGTGATGTACTCATAGCTGGTTGAGGAACAGGGACGGAGAGTCAGAGCTCAGATCATATCACAGGCAGCATGGCAAATCACTGGACTGGAGTGGGTTTGGGGAACTCCCCATTAGTGTGGGCCTGAACAGGGTTACCACTGTTGGAAGGTGGGAACTGATGAGCAGGCACTATTGTGACAGGTGCTGCCCCAGTTTGAACATTTTTAAAATCCCCATTGTGTTCCGCCTGGCTCTGACTGGGATTCTGAGCAAAAGGGTGAGTGGGGATAGGTTTAAAATCACCGTTCTGAGGTTGCCCTCCATTATTTACAAAGGCATTGTTTGGGTGTCCAAATGCTGGAACATAGCATTGAGGGAAGTATAACTCAGGTTTCACTACAGCTGTAGGAGGAACACCTCTTCCCAATAAATGCTTCGTATCAGAATTATTATTTGGTCTTCTGCCTTTATTAGCATGAGGGTTCATATGGTTATCCATATGCTTCTTGACCTCTGGATCTGTAGCAAATCTTCTCCTACAGTTAGGCATGGGACAACAGAATGGTCGTTCACCCTGGTGAGTGCGAGTATGTTGATCTAAAATTGCTTTCTGCCTGAAGTCTTTGCCACATTGGCCACATTTGTACGGTTTCTCTCCAGTGTGAATCCGTAAGTGTTGGTTGAGAATAGTTCTCTGCCGGAAATTCCTCCCACAATAACCACACCCATATGGTTTTTCATTTGTATGAATCCGCACGTGCTGAGTGAGATGGGATTGCTGCCGGAACCTCTTCCCACACTCAGGACAGGGGTAAGGACGGGACTCAATATGTATACAGCCATGCTGAAGAAGGGTTGACTTCTGCTTGAACTCCTTTTGGCAGATAGGGCAACGCACGTACAAAGGCATGCCAGCACTTCGACCATGCTGGATGACATCAGGAAGCCCCTTTCCTTGCTTGAGGTACTGCAGGGCAAAGTTGCTGCCAGAGCCGAAGACAGCGTGGTTCATACCCTTAGCGTCCTTGAAATATGCAGGGTACTGCACATTTGATTCCGGTGAGAAACATCCATTTGCTTGTCGCTGGTGGTCTGGAGTTTGGGCATTATGTTCACTGTCGAACGGAGATCCACCATTCTCAGTTGATGGTTCTTTAGAATCCAGCTCCGGCGGGAATGGGACGTCTTGAGGCCACAGTGTACCATTCTTGTACACCAGATGGGGACTCACATCTGTGAACACACAAAGCCATAATCCTTTGTTTAGACTTCATGAATGAAATTCATCAAAATAGATTGTCTTAAAATCCACTTGAATGAATAATAATCATCTTCGTCCAAAATACAAAAACACAGTTTTACTGATTGGAAAAATACTGATACTTGATTGATTCAAGAATGATAGAGAATAAATGCCCTTTTGAGTCAAATGAAAAATTATCCCAAGTTAATCCCAAATGAATCCATACAATAAATTGATCACTTCCGTTACAAACCCAGTACTTTTAGCAAACTGTTACATTTAATTATTAACCAATTGTCTTATGAACTATTAATTAAAAAGCATAAAACATAATTGCAAATTTCATGCAACCTTCTAATTGGTTCTACAAAGACTACTTTCAAATATGGCAAGTACTATACATTAAGACATAGTGCATGGCAAGTATTAATGCATGAAGCCTACAATATATGGTTTGGCGAGAATAAGGCACAACAGTACAATAACTCACTTGCTGACTAAAATCTATTATAAAAATATATGGACAGGGAATCCTTACCGCCTTCTGTTAAATGTACATAAATAACATACAAAAACAGAGGCATAATAAATTTCAACTTCCTTTGTGAGTATGTACTGGAAGTGTCTGCTCTCGTTTCTGGTAACGCTGATATTTACAGAAATTCCCTTACTGACCACTTAAGTGTCTTGGTGCATGTAAAGGATGGTGCAAGTGATGACACCAAGACACTTGTGCGGAAAGCCCTTTCTGTTTTGCACTGGACCCCATCCAAGAAAGCAGTTGAAAATATTACATAAGATCTACTGCCATGGTAATTTTCCATAAATATGAGCAGTTGTTAATGAAGCAGTCCTCTCACACATCCACCAAAGCTGAACATTGCAGGGAAGTAAGAAAGGAAGAAAAATAGAAAAGGGACATAAGGTAGAAAAGGTGCAGTGAAGCATGTCAAAATAATTGCCTTTTTGCTGAGCGCAAACAAAACGTTAAATTTCAATCACATATCAAAAATAAATAGTCCTCAGAATTTAATGAGGTACTAGGTAAAGCTCACGATAAAACACTAAAACTCATGTCTTAAAAAAGAAAAAAGACTGAAACAGCATTAGCAAGATCACTGTAGTGGACTGACCCTTGAAAGAAAGGCATATTATTGTTACTTTTCCATTAGGAAGGCAGGCAATAAAATCTAAAAGTTAAGATTGAAACATATGAAGCAAGAGTGATAGTGATATTGGAAAGCAGAAAATGTTACAAAGGTGGAGACGGGAAGAAAGGAGGGGGTTTTGGTGAGAAATTCCTCTTTGACGGCGAGTCTATCACCGACGGCCTGGTGCCAAAAGCATTCTGACATTTCTCCCGTCCACGCCTACTCCACTCAGGAACGGAGAAATGCCGCCACTCGAGCTGCCCACTCCTCGGACGATCGGTTCGACGTCCACAGGATATTTCTCACCGGGATGGGGCGGGATGGGCGGGAGAGGGTCAAGTCCTGGGGCCGGTAATGGCGCTATTACCTGCAGCGTTACTACTCTACTAATTTCAGCCCATGCCTGGGTGGGACACAGGACACGGGGGTGGCCAGCGGGCGGACCAATGCGACCACGACCCCATCGCAGCGTCACCTCAGCGTCAGCTCGGCTCTCCTCGCACAGCAGCGGTCAGGTCCGTCCGGTCCTGTCCTGTCCGGCTCGAAGTGCGCTAGTCACTAGCGTCTTGTTAGCTGTCTCCGTCCCTCAGCAGCAGAGCGAGCAGAGCGTCCAAGTGCCGGGAGAAGTGGGATAGTGAAAGAGAGCCGAGTGCGAGAGTTAGACGTGGTCAGGGTGTCGGGGGATCCGTCGTCCGCCCGCTGGATACCTCCGGGTCCACCTCCGGGTCCCCCTCCTGGTCCCGGTCGGGGTGGTGGTGGAGGGGAAAGGTCTTATCGGAGAGGTCCTGCGGCAGGTCGTCTTCACCAAGCGCGCCGTCCTCGTCGCCGCCGTCGCTATCCGTGTCGGGCGAGGGCGAGTGCGGACCCCGGCGGCCCGGAGAGCGACGACGGGGAGGCCACGGAGCGCAGAGGCCCGCGGAGGCGAGGTGGTGGAGGCCGAGACCCTGGCCGAGGCCCTGGCGGGGGTTAGTGCTGCTTCTACCACTACTGCCGCCGCTGCCGAGCGACAGGGCGAGGTCGAGGAGGGCATAGGGGTGGAGAGACAGCGAGAGGTCGACTGCGTCGCCACTATCACGAGAAGTAGAAGGAGGCAGAGGGAAATGCTCGCCTTGATGTGTGCGGACGTGCTGATTCAGGATGGCCTTCTGGCGAAAACGCTTCCCACACTCCGGGCACTGGAAAGGCTTCTCACCCGAGTGGATGCGGAGGTGCTGGTTGAGGATGGCGCGCTGCCGGAAGGTGCGCTCGCAGTACACGCAGGCAAAGGGCTTCTCGTTGGCGTGGATACGCAGGTGCTGCGTTAGGTGCGACTGCTGGCGGAATCGCTTGCCGCACTCGGTGCAGCCGTACGGCCGGCTGTCCGTGTGGATGCGCTCGTGCTGCAGCAGCGTCGACTTCTGCTTGAAGTCCTTGCCGCACGTCAGGCACTTGAAGAGCCGCAGCTCGCTGTTGGCGTGCTTGCCCTGCTTGCCCTGGTGCTGCTGCTGCTGTTGCTGCTGCAGGATGTCAGGCATGCCTCGCATGTCCTGCATGTTGCTGTTGAAGTTCTCGGCCATGACGGCCTCCGTACCCATGGGCCCCAGCGGCGTCAGCAGCACGCCCGGCTGCTTGAGGTAGTGCATGAAGCTCGTGGGGCTCATGACGTGCGGCGGCGGCCCGACCGGGTGCCCGCGCTGCGAGTAGTGGTGGCTCAGGTACTGGTGGTGTTGTTGTTGTTGCTGCTGCTGCTGCTGTTGCTGCTGCTGTTGCTGCAAGTCCACGCCGGGCGTGGCCGACGGGTTGTAGCAGCGCTGCACCTCAATGTCGGGGTTGTGCTGCCCGGGGTTGTGCGGCGGCGACAGCTCCTGCTGCTCGTGCGAGGACGGCCCGTGCGAGGACGGCCCCTGCTGCGGCGCCACGGACTGAGACGGCGGTGGCTGCTGCGGCGTCAAGGGGCCCGACACCTGGTCGTCGTCCGCCACCCCCACGGGGTGCGGCGTCATGGGCGTCATGGGCGTCATCGGCGTGGGCGGTACGTCGGGCACCGACTGCGGGTACGGCGACGCCACGGGCGATGTGAGCGCGCTCTGCACCGGACCGTCGTCGCACAGCTGCCGCGGACTGACGGACGCCGGCTGCGGGGTGGGGGGTTGTTGCTGTTGAGTCTGGGGAGGTAGTTGTTGTTGCTGCTGGGTCTGTTGCTGCTGCGACGAGAGGTAGCCGAGGTCTTGAGAGGGTGGCCCTTGCCCCCACTGGCCGCCCTGTCCCTGCCCCCGCTCCATTCCGTCCTTGTAGAACACGTACGGCTGCCCCGTCTCTGCAAAAAGACAAGCAGGGTCAGGGCGTGAGCAGCGGAGCACTTCTCGAGAAAGGGAGCGGTGCCGTCATGGTGCCGTCGCCGTCGGCCAGGTTCGCAAGGCCGCCGTCAGAGCCGCCGCGATGACCAGGGCCACTCCAAGCGCGGTGCGGTCGACCGCGACCAGGGTGCTCGGGTCACCTGCGGCCGGATCCTGGACTGGAGAGGTGGAGAGGTGGCTTACCCTGTGCTATGCAGTACATGATCTGCGGGGGCACCTTGAGGCCCGCGAGGCAGGCCGCGAACGAGGCCTGCAGGTTGATGGCCATGTCTGGGCCGGCCGAGTGCCGTGCCGCGTGGCGCGCTTCAGGTGGAGCTGGACCAGCGTCTCCGGCCTGGGCGGCCTGGGCGGCCTAGGCGGGGCTGCTGCTGCTACTCCTCGCGGGGCTGCAGGGGTGCCGACGGTGCTCGGCGACGTGCGGCGGCCTGGGCCCCATCTTCACGCTTCGCGCCGCGCGGCCTGTGGACAAGCAAAGCACTCTGTTGCAAGACGCGTTCCCAGACAGACATCCAACCGGCCACTTCCCCCACCACTGCCCTCCAGCTCGCGGCCGCGCAAAAGCCTTCCCCGCCTTTGCGCCTTACTAGACAAGGATAGGCAAACCGCGCGGAGCAGCGCACCGGCGTGCAGCGCGCTGCCTGCCGCCGGGCGTTCCGCGTCTAGCTAGTCCAGCCTAGCCAGCCCAGCCCCAGCCCCTCGGCCGGGCCGCTTCGTCTTCGTCGCTCCGTTGCTCTCGCGCCCGTAGACGCCCCTTGAGTGACAGCGACGAGACGACACTACTATGGGATCAGTCTGGGCGTCGCCGGGCTCAGCACAAACGAACGAGCGTTTCAGCGTCCCAGGGGTTCCCGCCCGGCAAAGCCGCCACGAGATTGCCGTCAGTCGATTCGATGAAAAACAAAGCGACATTATTCCGACCGACTATTATAGTTTGCTGCTCCAAACCGCACGCGGCTTCGTTTCATTGAAGTACGCCCCGGTCCCCATCAGGTCCCCATCAGGTCGCCGTCAGGTCCCCGGGGATCCGGTCGCAGAGTACACGAGGCCGGCGAGGCCGCGTGCGCCGCCACGTCGCGAGTCCCAGCACGACACGACACTGTCGGCTCGACCACTAGCGGCGCGTGCCGCGCAGTGCGGCCACCACCCCGCCAGGCCGCCAGGCCGCCACACTGCAGCCAACACAACAACAAACTGGTGCGGCGCGCCAAGCGATTCACATAATTAAAATAGAATAGGGGAGGCGACGGCGCGCTAGGAGGGGAGCGGCGCGCCGCGCCACGCCACCGCCGCGGCTAGTAGTAGTTTATAGTGCGGTAGGTCGGGGCGGGCCGAGGGCCTGGCCTGCCCGATCCCCTCCGCGGCCTGGCGTGGCGTCGATGAATAGCGGCGTGCGTTTAATTGGCGCCACCGAGCGACACGCGGCCTGCACTGCAGCCCCACGGCCAGCGGGGCCGGCGGGACAGACAACCCCGGACAGCCCGATAGAGCAGTAGTGATAGTGCGGGGCGAGGCGGGAGGGCGGCGACACCACCGCGGACACCGCGGCCACGCCGAGGGCGCCGAGGGCGGCGAGGGCGTGATAGCCCGTCAATTACCGCGTGTGTCCGGCCGGCTGGGGCCGGGGCGGTATGGAGGGCCGGCGCGGCGCCCGGCCGATGATTGTTGCATGTTGACTGACAAACCGCAAACCGCGCCTCTGCGTCGCTCGCGGCCGCTTGGCCGCCTTCTACCGCGCTCGTAGGCTAGACCGTGTCTTGGCCGAGAAGCGGCGGCGCCGGCCCTCTGCGCTCCGACAACCCCGACAAAAGAAATTAGAAAAGAAGTTTCGCGACAGCGAGTGCACGGAAATGTGTCCGAGGTGCCGAACCCCGTCCGCAGTAGGCTGTCCCGGCGGACATGGCCGCCTGCCGGGACTGCCTACCCACCGGGCTGAGTCCGCAGTGTCCCAGCGACGAGAGACAAATTTAACCACGCTGAGGCCTGCAGGGCCAGCCGCTTTCGCAGCTGTCTCTCTCCCACTCATGGAGTGTCTCCCCGCGAGAGAGACAGAGCGACGAGAACGACACTCGGCATCAGTCCTCAGGAGGAGGGCGCGGCGCGCGCCAGGCCACTGGGGCATTGGCGCGGGCCGTGCCGTGCCGCCGTGCCGGGCGCCCCTCGCGACGCCGCGCTGCCCGCTGCCCCCGCTGCCCCCGCCGCCCAAGACTCGGGCAGACTCGGGACGATAACGACGACAAACAAACAGCGAGCAAACGTCGCTATTACTTTCACCTTCTGTGAATCGCCGCGCCGCGACCGTCCGCGGCCACTACACTGGCTAGCCGGTTACACTCGGCCGGTCAACCTGCTCCCCTGCGCCACTGCGCCGGCCGGCGCTGCTGCCGGCTGCGACTCCGCGCGCCATTGCGTCAGCGTAATCTGTATCCGATTCTTCTACTTGCTGCTTCTTTTTGGGGGCAAGACAAGAAAAAGAAGGGGATTTATTTCACGGTTTACAGTTTGGCGAATGAGAGGAGTAACCGCCCGACCGCCTGTGCCGAAAACTTCGAGAAAAACACGGGATTAACAAGCATTTTACCGAAACAGGACGAACGAACTAGTAACTCTAATGTAGTTTTAAAGATGGTCGCGAAGTCCGTCCCCGTGTCCGCGCTGCACACTCCCTCGGCCCTTGCCCCCGCCCCCTCCCCCCGCGGTTTCAATCCTTCCCTGTACTGCCTCAACACACTCCCCTCCTTTTGTGTGTGGCGTCGTGACGAGCCATCTGGGCTCGCCTCCCCCTTCTCGCCGTCTTCTTTTTTCCCCGAGACTGAACCAACCCTCCCCGGCCCGCCAGCCCCGCCCGGCGGTCTGTCCGTCTGACTGGCTGTCTGGCGCTGTCTGGCGCTGTCTGGCGCGCCCCCCTGCGCGTCGGCCCTTTGAGACAAGTGCGCCGGGCTGGGCCGGGCTGGGCCGGGCAGGTGCATGCCATTCACGCAGTCTTTTCATCGTCACACACTTGTCGCGCACTCGTCACACACTTGCTCCGCGGGCCGTCACACTCTTGGCGCTCGCGTTCCCAGTCCCCGAAACGCTTCATTTCCACCGTCATTTCCACGAGTTTCCTCGAGCCCCCGTCCCGGCGGCCGGCGGGAGCATGGCGGGAGGCTGAGGTTCGGTGACAGCTCGGATCGCGTCGCCGCCTGGGGCGCGGCGCCCGCATGCGTCCTGGGGACGGGGCATCGGCGTGCGGGGCCGCAGGTGTTCGATAGAAAAACCTCGTCGCCGCCCAACCGGAGACAAAGCCGAAAGCTCCAAAGTCCGCCCCGCCGGAGGGAGGCGTAGAGCGTTTTTCACAGTGGCGTCGTCTCCGCGTGCCGAGCGCACTGCTGCCACTGGCTGCCACCCAACACCGTCCAGCTTTCCATGCGATGGAGCCGACGCCGACGGGACGGGGCTTGGCGACGGCGGCGGCCCGGCGGCGCGGCGTTCAGGTTTCCAAGCGCAAAGAAGCGGCTCTTTCGGTAGATGTTCCCTTCGGCTCAGATTGCGGGGGAGGGGGGTCCCCGCAGTCACACTCTTTGACCACGTGTGACACTTTCAAACGAAGCCCGTCGGGAAACCAATGGGACAGCAGATTTTCAAGACTGAACCTCGACATGAGTTAAAATTTGAAAAGGGAAATACTTGGGTGCCCACTGGCCTGGCTGGCGCTGCCGGCGGCTCGCGCGTCGCGCCTGGCGTGTCCTGCCTGACATGGTCCTGACACGGACGGACAGTCGGCCTTCCTTCCGGTGCCAACACCAACACTGCCAACGCGAACGGCGCGAACGGGCAGGAACGGCCCATCGGGTAGTCATCGCCACCATTATCGATTGGCCGCGGGGAAGTGATCGGCTCAGGCAGGCCGTCCAGGCAGCCCAGGCCATGCGTGAAGCCGGCGTGGAGCCCATCCGGGTCCATCCGGGTCCAGCCCGCCGGCCCGCCTTCGGGAAGACTTGCATTCGCTGCATCGACCCATCGACCCGGAGCACCTCATTGACACCTGTTATCCCTGATGGCAGATTCAGAAGAGTCGTTCCATTGCTCCGTCTCTGTCACACTCATGGCACGCCCTGGAGGGGTCCTGTAGGGGTCCTGTAGGTCTGACAGAGAGGGAACTACGACTCTTCGGAACCGCGGCAAAGGCATGACGGCGCGGAGCCGTGACAGCGCAGCCACGTGGTGGCGCCGCAATGCAAGCAGCACACAGCACAGCGCCAGCTCGCCCGGACCGCGAGAGCGGCCGTCTGGTCTAGCCTAGTCTAGCCTAGTCTAGCCGGGCCAGGCTGGGCCGTATCATAAACGTCTGAAATAGCCGGCGACGCAGCACGCAGCCTCCGCCTTGACCTGCGAGTCCTCGCGGCCGCCAGCGCCGCCAGCGCCGAGGCGAGCGAGGCAAGGCGCCAGCCCTGAACTTGGCCGCGCGTGGCCTGGCCTCACCGCAAACTGCCGCAAGCCTCCCCGGCCGGGCCTGGCGCCTTTTGACTAGACCAGGCGCCAAAAAGGGGAGGGGAGGGGTTCGAACCCACGAGACTCGCGGTGGGCGAGCGGCAAGCTGGGTAGCTGGGCGACAACAATCGGGCAGCACCGACGCGCCGCCACGCCACGCCACGCCACGCCACTGGGGCGTAAGGACAGTGCAGGGTCCACGACAAGACCAGCGAGGCGAGGCCGGCGAGGCGGAGACTCACACAGAGCCATTATCACCACGATCGCGGCGCGCGGCGACCGCGCTGCCGGTCGTCAAGTCCACCACCATCAACGCGTCGCCGTCGCGGCGTGCGGTGCGGTGCTGCCACCAATTTAATTTTCGTCTGGCCGGCGCGCACCTGTATGTCCCAACCCAACCGTCCCCGTCATCATTATCATCGTTATCGCCGACGTCATCGTCAACTGCATCACCCCGTCGGGCCGTCGCGCCGTCCGGCCGTCACGGTCCGAAGTCACCCGCCGCCCTCCGTGACTGTCGGGCTGTCGGCCTGACGGGCTGCCTGACGGGCTGCCTGGCACGGCATGACGGCGCCCTTACCGCGCGGCGCTGCACTGCACTGCAGCCGGAAGCAGGGCAAGCAGGGTCCGGCCCCGGCCGGCCGGATCGGACGCGGGACGCTGGCGGCGACCACGCGCTTCTTCGCCTTGGCCGGGCGTGCGTCGCCGCGTCGCCGGCGTGGTGCGCGGTACCGGCTATTGGGTAAGGGCAGGGAGGCCGGCCACGCCTCGCCACTACACTACCTCGCAGTCCACGGCGGCGGTCTTGAAGCAGGACAACGATCACACTGTAATCCTTTGGCGCACACCAGACACTGCACTGCACTCACCGTCGACAGTAAGTCTCTATGCTAGTATCCAAGAGGGAAGTCACTGCGGCGACACTCGTCACTCGCGCTGGCCGTGCGCTGTGCACGCCAAGTCGCTGGTGCGGTCGCGTCGCCGCGGCTCAACGCCGGCCGGGCCCCCAAATTCGCGATGCGGCAAGTCGTGGTCCGGAGCGTGGTCCGCGCGCGGTTGCGGGGCGTGCGGAGCGGTGCGGCTCGGATCGGCGCGGTGCGGCGCGGCGCGAAGGCACTCCACTAGCGTCCAAGCCCGCACGGCCTCATGTCTGACTGGCTTGACTCCCAGCACTGCTCCCAGCCCCGGCCGTAGCTGGCTGCCTGGCTGGCTGCCTGGCTGGCCTCGCGCGGCGTTGCCACACCGCCCTACCCTCCCCCACCCGCGGCCCTGCCCCCACCCTACGCGCAGCCCCCACGCCCCCGCCGTCCGCGCCCCGAGCCCCTCGCCGCCCGGGCCCGGCGCGCACCAACCTTGCATGCATGGGGAGCCGGCACCAGCCACCAGCTCGCCGAGGTGGACGTCGTGGAGGATGGGCCACGGCGGCCACGGCGGCCACGGGGACGCGATCCATCACGGCTGCACTCAATCGATAACGCAGTGTTGTGATGATCGCGCGCGGCGTGGCCAACAAGGCACCTGTGGTGGAGGAACCCGAGGAGCCTGAGGCACCCGAGGCACCTCGGGGAAGGACCGTCGAGCGTCGAGCCGCGCGAAACGGCCCTGGCCGCATGCAGGATGCAGGGCAGTGCAATGCAGGGCAATGCAGAGCCCCACGAGGCTCGGCTCAGCCGCGCATAAAAGACAAGTGCTTCATGCCGTGACCCTAAGCACTTAATGCACTTTAATTGCCCAATTTTTAAACGGCAGATTATGCACTTTAATTTGGCATTGTAATTTCGTTGATTAGCTTGATTTACCTGAAGAACAATTACTTGTCCCGACACTGGCAGGTCCACCTGCCCGTCCAGGCACCAGACGCCGCGACATGGACGCAAACGGACCCAAATAGAGCGGACAAATAAGTCGCCGGTGATAAGAGGCACACGCTGCGACCGCCAGACTGCGAGCATGTCCAAAGTGTCCGCGTGGCCGAGAAGCTCGTGGAGACAGTGTTTGTTGTGGACGAGTCTCTATCGGCTGCATGGCGCGGCAGCGTCTGGACAGACTGGACCAAAGTGCAAGCGGCACTGCCCGCACACACCTACACACACGCACCTGTGCGGACAGCGCCTTGGTCACGTCCGTTACCGGTCGCCATGCCCACAGCCACCCTCGCGCTCCGCGCCGCCACCGCCCCAAATCACATGAATCTGTTCGTTAGCCTGTACACTTGTACAGTCCCATGCTGTCTGCCCGTCCGCCGCCTCCCTCCACTTTTTTCCCCCGAGCTTTTCCTCCCCCGCTCCCCTCCCCCCGCCCTGTCTGTCTGGTGCCCTCCCCACCCCCACTCCGGCCCAGTCTGCCTTCCCTCCCCTCCCCTCTCTCCATCTCTGTCTTCGTGCGTCCTCCGCGCCACCCCTTCCCCTTCCCCGCTCTTTCGTTTTTTCTCTCGCCGCTTCTTTTTCTCGTCGCGCGCAGAGCGGCGCGGCGCAGCAGCATTCTCTCTCCCTCGATCCGCCCCTCTCGGCCCAGGGCGTGCAGGGCGTCTCTCTCGCTCTCGCTGGGGCGGGACGCGGGACGCGTCGGGCAGCGTCGGGCAGCGTCGGGCTCCAGAGGGAAGGGCCCCGCCGCCCCGCCCGCCCCTCGGCCCCGCTGCCACCGCCGCGCCGCTGCACAGCCTGCAGCGCTGGCGGGCCCTGCAGACTGATTCCGAGAGTCGTTTTCGTCGCTCTGTCTCTCTCGCACCGATACGGCACGCCGCAGGAGTGTGAGAGAGACGGAGCGACGACAACGACTCTCGTGATCCGGCTGCTGGTCCTGGTCCGATCTCGCAGGCGGTCCGGGCCGATCTGAACGCGGCGCAGCGTGCAGCTGCAGCGACCTGCACCGCCTGCACCGCCTGCATGCAGGCGGAGGACTTTGGAACGAGACCCTCTTGAGAAGGTCGCGGCCATTCGGTCCTGCCTGCCAATAGCGACAATCCCTGTGTGTCCCTGCCCTGCCGCCTGCTTTTGAACTTCTACCTCGACGCTGTGTCTCTCGCACCCCCGATGATCACTGCTCGGCTCGGATTCATCCTGCACTGCCGTCACCCGACTGCAAATAACCACGCTAGACACGGTTCTGGTTGCCCTGCCCGGCACACAGTGCACCCCACGTTCCGCTTTGGGGACGGGGCGACAACGACAGCCATCGCCAAGCCAAAGCCGAGATTGCATTCGCCCGTTCTCACGCTCGGCGGCAAAGAAGTGACACGCATGCGCGTCACGGCGCGTCACGGTACGTCTCAGCGTCGGTGTCACGCCCTCGTCACGCCCTCGTCACGCCCTCGTCACGTCGCGTGCGTTCCGTTACTCTCCTCGCCGAATGCAGTGCGGGTTGTGTGGGGGGCCGTCCGGGCCAGGGCGGACGAACACGACGGACACGGACATGCAACAGACATGCAAGGGTCAGGCAGGCAGGTCGGCCGGGCTGGGCAACTTGCATTTCTGGGTGGTGGCGCGCAGCCATGGGCGTGGCAAGGCGCGGCCGGCCAGTCGGCGGGCCGCACGCCGCGGGGCTCGGAGACGTCACATTTCCTTCCGTCAACCACGCACCCGCTCAATTAGGGTCAGACAGAGAGGGGGGGAGGCCGTCCGCCACATAATTCGGCGCCTAATTACAAACCAGTGCGCTGCCCCGATGCAAGCGGCAAGCGGCGTGCTCCAGTGGACGTCGCGACGCCGCCGTGGCGGGGCGTGGCGGGGCGTGGCGGGGCGTCGCGCAAGGCGGTCGCTCGCTGGTGCATGGTGCACGGACCCAGACGGACGCTTACCCCCTCCCCCCGCCCCTCGGCCGCCGCCCCGCCAGCCAAGCAGTGCCGCGCAGCCAAGGCTCTCCGACACGAAACGAAATAACGAGGCGGCGTGGCCGGCGTGGCCGTGCTGGACGCAAATCGCGGACGACGGCCCGCCGGCCAACGCGGCGCGGCGACGCAGTCTGATAGCGTAGCGGCCAAGAACCACACGCACACACGCACACTTGTTACGGCTCGCGCCGAAACGGCTGGAACGCTTCGAAAGTCGTCGACACTGTTCATTTCCATAGCGCCACTACAACGGAGAGAAGAAAATCGACGGAATATTGTAATTTCCTGTCTCTAGGTTATCTCTGCAAAAATTGTAACTCACTGCGGATTCGAACGCACAACTGATTGAAACGCATCCCGTCGTGCTGCGTCGTCGTGGCGCTCGGCCGCTTCGCCCCGCCGAGCCGACGCCGTGCTCCCTACCCGCCCCGTTGGCCGTTGATCGCGTTGGTGGAGACAAGTGACAGCGGCGGCGTCGGACAGACACGTCGCCCGCCCCTCCCCCTCCGCCGGCGCATCGCGCGCGGGGCTGCCAATAATTTTAAAAGAAAAGAAGAGGTAAAAAAAAGTCTTGAAGCAGAAAGCACCTTGATGGATTAAAAACAAACGAAGCCCCTCTTGCTTGCTTTTTCGTCCCCCTCCTCCGTGTCCAGGGTAGGAAAACAACTTTTGGGTGCAAACGTCCCGCCTATCTTTCTCCAAGCTCGCTGATCGAAGCCAGAGGGAATAGACTAATTTTCGAAGGAAATTTCTGATTCCTGTTCGCGTACCCACCGAAAAAGCAAAGTGCTCTACCCCTTCCGCTTCACTTGTTCTGCCGCCTCGGTGAGATAGGTCGCCAGTGAGCGAGGTCCTGGAGTCCCGGAGTCCTGGACACGTCGGCCGGGACTGAAACGTTATACACACAGAGTTGGATACAGTTACCGCCGTCCGTCATAGTATCGCTTATCGTTTATAAGACCGGCGTGTGCGTACGCCGTGCGCTCGCCAACGTCGCCAACACACTCTAGCGCCGTACCGACACATTCTATACTACAGCCTGCTGCATGCTGCTGCCGCGAGCGCCGCGCGCGACGTTCGAAATATGCAAATGATATTTACCTTGGCACCTTGCGCGTCGCGCGTGGCGCGCTCACCGCGGGGCGGAGCCAGCATGGGAGGCGGCGGTGGAACACTCTTACACTGTAAGTACTTGCGGGGAGTGCGGCGCGGCGCGGCACTAGTGCAGCGCGTTCGGCCGAGTGGACCGCCAGGCCGCCAGGCCGCCAGGCTCGCGACGTGGATGAAGTGCCGCGGATGAAGGGCGCGGCGGTTTTTTTGCGGTGGGCGATAATGACTGGGGGTCGCACCGCGGCGTTCCGCGTTCCGGACTCGCTGGAGTGCTGGGTCCTGGAGTCACACCGCGTGGAGGACCGGGAGGACCTGGCCCTCGACGAGCTCGTCCACGGGGCGGGGGGCGCGGTGACGAGCACGCCCAAGAGCACTATGCGCGACGACGGGGGTTAATTCGCGCCGCGGGGGCGTACCGGGGCGTCGGCGTTTCCCCCGGAAGGAACACTTGTCGCGCCCACGCCAGCGACAGCAGCGACAGCAGCGACGCGGCGGCAGCGCTGCGCACTACACTTGAGGGACCTGGCCAAGGCGATTCGGTTCAGCGAAAGAAAGAACCTAACCACATTTCATCCCTGCGGCCTCAGCGAGCCACACATTTCTCGCAGGGTCCGCCAGGCGAAATTTCGGGCCGTTGCCTCTAAACCAAATGGACAATCCTTTGTCTGGTGGCAGAACGATTAAAAATGCAGGCAAGGTACGGGCACGCTGCGTCTGTGTGAGTGGCTGCGAGTGTGTGTGTGTGTGTGCCGGGCTGTCAGACCGCCGGGGCTGGGCAGTCGACCGCGCTGCATCGGGACATCGGGTTGGGTCGGCTGGGCTGCAGAAACGCGTGTAATTCAATACGAATCCGATTGGCAGCCGGGACGGACCGGGACGGAGCGGCCGGCGGGTCGGGACTGACTGAGCAGTCCCGGTCGGGTACTTGGGCGAAGCGCGCAGCGGAATCGCAGTGCCTCGATCGGACGACGAGGACGCGGACGCCACTCCGGGCAGGATTGACACGTTCCTGAATGAACCGCGAGCGCAAAGTAGTTGCCATGCGCGCCTCATCAGATCCCATCCCACCAAGG